TTAAATAATCGGCTCTGACTGTACATAGACCACAGTATCTGGACAATTTTCGAACGCCCTGGTCCCATCACATCATCACGTATCGTTGACGACTTTGATGACGTTGCGCTACTCAATTCGAATCGGTCCCTCCGCAGGTAAGGGGTATCGCGTGCACTTAAACAGTCGGCGTTGCTGTAGTCGCAGGCATAAATATTATGTAAAATGTGTGTGTGCATTAGGGTGGAGCGAAAAATTTGTTTTCGTTATATGGCAATCTAATAGCAAAAATATGGTGCGTTTTAGGATCAAATTGAACCATATAAAATATTTTTTGATTTCGTTTACGGTAACTGCCTCCGCAATGTCATTGAAATTCAATTCAAGTCGAAGGAGAATCAGAGATTTGGCAATACTGTGCCACGACCTCAGTGCGCCTGCGCTTTTGTTTTCGCTCGCAACGATCACGTGCCGGCCATATTTAATTATTGTTATTCTTTTAAAACATGCCGAGAACTCGGAGTGTGTTTAAATGTCCTGTTTTGGGTGTTATTTGTGAGTTAAAATACAATGTTCTACCTACTTACGACGATGTTATCAAGTTATATGAATGGACAAGACATCAACGAAAATTGAGGTTAGAAACTGCCAAAGAGCCAGTTTTTGCGGAAATAGCAGATATAGTGACATCCACGATTGAAAATATATGGCAAACTGCATCTATTCCTACAGTAACACGAACAAGAATCATACAAATGTTGAAAGCCTATCATTTAAAATACAAAAATCTACTTAAATCTGTGCAAAGAGTATCTGAAGATAAATTAGAGAGATTTCGGCATAGTGGTAGGTTACTTTTTGATATTTCGGCATGCAAATGCAAAGAATTTATTAAGTGCACCTGCCCAAAGGATAAAAAGGTTCCTAAACAAGAACAAGCCTTCCTAATTGATCAAAGAACCTGTCGACATATGATAATCGATGGAATCGATCCAATCATCACTAAGAAGTTGCAAAGCACTTTAAAACGGAAACATGAACGAGAGAACCGCCAAAATGTATCTTCGAATACGAGTACATCATCGTTGGCTGTTTTAAATGTTAGTACTTCTTCGGAAACGTCATCAATGTCAGATAGAAGCGAATTCGAAGAAGTTACTCAAAAGAAAAGGAAAAAATCCTCACGCATCGATTTTCCGACGCTCTCGAAGACATGTGACAGGTACGGAGTGTCAGATAGGGCTGCAGCCGCGATTGCATCATCTGTCTTGTTCGACATTGATTCTGATATTGGCGTCATTGACAGGCATAAATTACGTAGACAGAGAACCAAAACAAGAAATAAGTTATTGAATGAGGTGAAAATTTCGGAACTTAATGCTTTATACTTTGACGGGAGGAAAGACAAAACGTTAAAGATCGTTAAAAAGAATGGCAAATGCTACAGGACTTTGACTGTCGAGGAACATATCTCACTAATTCAAGAGCCTGGATCAATTTATCTTGGATACGTGGTGCCTAATGTTGGGACAGCAAAAGGAATAGAAATCTCCATAGCAGAGTTTCTAACACGTGAACAAATACTTCTTCATGAACTTATTGCAATCGGTTGCGATGGCACAAATGTTAATACTGGAAAGAATGGAGGTATAATAAGACTGTTCGAGAGAAAACTACAAAAACCACTCCAGTGGATAGTGTGTTTGCTGCACATGAATGAACTGCCTTTGAGACACTTGTTTCTTCATCTTGATGGGTGTACTTCGGGACCTAAGTCTTTCTCTGGACCTTTAGGAAAAGCACTAGAGACCTGTGAACAACTACCTATTAGAAAATTTCAACCTATTGAAGGAGAAATGCTTCCAGAAATGGCTAAGATTTGAGTACAGATCAACAGTACTTACATAATATTGTCACAGCGGTTCTTACAGGTATTTTTCCAGAGGATCTGTCAAATAAATCTCCCGGCAAACTTTCACATGCCCGTTGGCTCACACGTGCCAATAGAATATTGCGTTTGTATGTAGCAACCGAAACACCATCAGAGAAACTGCTAACTCTGGCAAAATTTGTTGTTAAAGTTTACGCACCATCTTGGTTCCTTATTAAAAACAAACCCTTCTGCAAGGATGGAACGCGACATCTTTTCTTTATAATTTCTGCCTCCAGATACCTGTCAGAAGATCTTAAAAAGATAATCGATCCTGTCATTCAACGGAATAGCTACTTTGCACATCCGGAGAACACGCTTCTTGCAATGTTAACTGATGCCAAGAAACATATTCGAGAACTGGCAGCCAGGCGTGTATTGAAAGCACGTAGCACGCAGCAAACATCAACAATTAGATTATTTGAGTTGCCTTGCATTAATTTTAATGCTTCTACATACGTTGATTTAATAAATTGGCAGGAAAAAATAACGGAACCCCCTATTTTAAAAATCTTTTCTGACCAAGAAATTTGGCGCGTCGTCGAAACTGGGGATGAGAATCAATTGACCTTTTTGAAGCTTCCGTGTCACACACAAGCTGTAGAACGAGCTGTAAAAGTGACGACAGAGGCAGCCACGTCCCAATGTACGGAAAAGGCACGATTGGGTGCAATAAAAGCCAAACTGGAATCTCGGAATATAATGCCTAAATTTGAGACAAAAAGAAATTTTAAAGGAAAGTAATATATAAATATGTATATATTTTCTTACTATTGTTCTTAAAATGTTACCGTATTTTTAATTGTAGTTCTTCAATAAATATCTTAGATTAATTTTGCAAGTGATTCATCACCCATATATCATTAAACTAAGCTCAATAGTTGGTAAAATGTGTACTAATATTTTTTAGTTAAAATTTAGATTTTGTGGGGTCAGTGCGGAGGCAGAAGATGTTGGAAAAATTAATTGAGAAATTACATATATTTTTACTATAATATACTGCACCAATTGCTCCCTATTACAATTCAATATTTGGAAAAAAAAATTAATCCATACATAAACGCTCCACCCTAGTGTGCATCTAATAGGTTGGCAATACGTATTTCACTCAATCAATCTTCAATTCCTACAAAAATTCTACTGGACATGATCAGGAGCCTCTAAAAAGTCAAAAAACGAACCATGAGCGATTTTTATTTTCCGTTTCCGACGCTGGACCTATTTTCACAAACTAAAAAGACTTCTTCTTATTGGCATATTAGCAACGTTGTGTGAAATATTTCGTCAAAATACAACCGGTATCTTGTAAGTTTTGGGGTGGCCAGGAAATAACGGACAGATGGACAGTCAGACAGACCGAAATATGTGACAAAATTCTTTTATCTTATCTTTTATCTTGGAAGTTCTTCCCCAGTGGCGTGGGGTGTAAAAAATGCCACCCATGCACATTTATTGCATGCACGAGAAACTCACTGACACGACTGGTGACATTTTATGCAAGTGGTCAACGAGCAGCAAAACAGTTGGTTTTCACAAAATGCAGTCCTCCGGGAAATTTTAACTGACAGTAGCGACATCCGGTTTAGCGATCGTTGTAAGCTGACGTTGAGCGTAATCCAAAATGAGCGTCCACCAGGCAAATACCATAATTCCTGTATGACAAACTGCGCACAGAGAGTACATCATCCACCAACATACAATGTTGTTACAAGCTTATAGACTGTCCAATTCTAACAATAGCGCGGTGAAACTGGTAGTACAGGATGCATGGCTCTAGAACGAGTAGTTTCCATATTTCCTGTTTGACAAACTGCGACAAACATATAATGTTATTACAAGCTTCTAGATTGTCCAATGTCTATGATAGTTCAGTGAATTGTAGTAGTAGGGATCCCATGTACCGAAAAGGCAAATACCACAATCCTTGTATGACAAACTGAGTACACGACAGACTTGTATGATGGTCCAATGGATTTGGTAATATGAAGCAATGAGATCATTTCATGATCATCCAAACATCCATACTCGCCCTCATGGTGACCAAATTGCAGTGCTTCTTAATCCAAGTGCAGAAAGCAGGTGACCTAGTCCAAGCGTTATCGCATTGACTTGGAATAAATGCTAGGGACTAGCAGGAACTGTCGGAAAATCAGGACTAGACACGTTCAGTATTATATTCCCACAATACACTGCAAATTACAAAGAAGATCGTTATGTGCTCTTAATGCTAGAAAAAGTATGTAGTTTTTCGTTGACTTAGAGCTGAGATATTCGTCTTGATGGAGATGAAGGAATGTAATCAGGTCGGATGCTGCCACATTCTCATCAACCGATCTAACCAATTGGTCTACAGCACCAGCGAACCAAATTTGTCGAACAGACAGAATTGGCAAGGTATTCCCATCGGCTTGTTCATGCACCACGCCATCTCGAAGGCATACACCACGGTGCCACCATGCGAGGGCAGTAAACTGTATACGATTTCTTGGATCAGCGTATCTGCAACAGCGATTATGGGTTCGAATCCCGCCGACGCCCATTTTTCCTCTCTCTCGAGTTGTTGTTTACTGAATATTCATTGTTGATATTCGCTGTTGACAACAAGTGACAAATGTGTCCTTAATGGTTACTAGGAGTGCTTCCTCATTGATATTATTGCCTACTAGTCAATTTTCCTCATAACATGCATCAAGCGGTTGCCCGATAGGTAATCCAAAAATTTTTTCTCGACAAAAAAATATTAATTAATAATTAAGTTCATGCGGTTGCTGTATATAGCACATTGCCATGGATGTTGTTGATCGATAGCGATTGTTTGTTACCTGTTGTCACGTTAGTATGAATCTTTCTTTTCTCACACACCTGAATATTTCCTGAAAATTGTTACATACCTAGTTTTAATAATTGAAAATTGCGACAAATAAAACAGTAATTCTAAGTTGTTTACTGTATGAGTACAAACTTGGTACAAAAGCTGCAGCGGCGGCGCGAAAAATATGTACCGCATTCGGAGATGATGCCGTTAGTGATCGAACAGCACAGAAATGGTTCAAAAAATGTTCTTCGGAAGATCTCAGTTTGAGCGATGAACCGCGCTCAGGGAGACCAAAAATCATGAACAACGAGGATCTTCGACAGGTTGTGGATGAAAGTTCCAGGACAACGTGCCAAGAACTTGCAGAAATGTTCAGAGTGAGTCCTGAAACTTTTCGTTTGCATCTTCATCAGCTAGGAAAGACGTGGAAGTTAAGCAAATGTGTTCCACATTAAGTGACAAATGATAACAAATTAAGTCGACTTACCATTAGTTCAGCAAATATTTCACGCAACGCTAATGAACCATTTCTTAATCGGTTGTTATTCTGCGATGAAAAATTAGAATTCTAAGCACTCGTATCATTGGTTGTCGCCTACTGATTCGGTACCACACACGCCCAAGGCTTCCTTGCACCCAAACAAGGTTTTGCCTCATCAAGAAGGAAAAAAACAAAAACAAATTTGGACTAGGTTACCACCATGGAGACTATTGACCCATTTACTTACTATTTACTTCTAAAACATTTTATTTACTCAAAAATACTTTAGAGACACTCTAGTTGTAAAAAATACATATTTAAAATCACTTAGGCCTATAACTAATAGAACATCTGAACAAATAAACAATGTGCGAATAAATGCGCGAAGTCAACAAAGCAACAATTGAAAGATTACCATTGGGTACATTATTTTTTATTACGGCTGAAATTTTTTGGGGCATAGTGTTAACCAAGTTTTGGCAAAAATTTGGTGTAAAACAATCCCATATTTCTTGAAGCTTTTGTCTCAGTTCGGTGATTGTACGAGCAGAATGTTGTCGTAGAACCTTTTTCATCTCGTGCCACAAAGTTTCAATAGGTGACAGATCTGGACTGCTAGAAACCAATTTCAAAAGTGTTACATAATTTTCTTCCATCCATTTTATAGCCTTTTTTGAGGTATGGCACGCTACACCATCTTGCTGAAACACAAAATCTTGGCCGGATGTCAAACATTCTTCCATCACTGGTAAAAGCGATTCTTCTAAAATTGCCAAATATTTGTTTGTATCCACATTTCTATCAATAAAATGAAGTTGTCCTACTCCTTTTGATGACATACTGCTCCAGACCATGGATGCTGGAAATTTCACTTTTCTCTTCCGACAGTCAACATGGAATGCTTAATTTTTTTTCCAAATAACTCTACTGCGACTGTCACCAACACATACTTCGAATTGGGCCTCAACACTCCATTGTATTGCACACCATTGTTGAGGTGTCCATTGTCTATGTTCTTTAACCCATCTAAGCCGATTTTTCTTTTGCAGTGGAGTTAATAATGGCTTTTCTTTTGCCTATAAACAAGTTGTGCAACTTTAGGGTTTTTACTCTTTTTTATAAGAAAACTTACCTTGTAAGTGCTAAATCCCAGTTTGTGGGCCTCTCTATGAGTTGTGGACCTCGAAATTCTCCTTCCAACAGCATCACTCCACAGAGCACTTAATTGTAAATAATTGGCACGCCTGTTTTTCACGATTATTCTTATTAATGCTCTTCGGTCGGCATTTGTGATATTACTTTTTTTCACATATCGTGGCTTAATATTAACTGAACCAGTTACGTTATATCTTCTAACAATATTTCTCACACTGTACCGCGATGAGTCTAACACAGTTGCAATTTCTGAGTTTGATTTCCCAGAATTAAAAAAATTAATTATCAGTAACCAAATTTTTTCACTAATAACCTTTCCTCTACCCATTTTGAAAACCTGTCATGGCTTTTATTTTTCACAGCCACCTATGCGTTATAGACTTATTTTGCATTGATATGAAAATAGGTTGATATGCTGTAATCTGTAATTGCAACATGTGTTATTTTGATGCTGCAAATTTGATTAGGGAGTGAAAAAGTTGGTGTTTTCTACTATATATTATCAAAATATTCATTGTTAATATGTTAAACCTATAACACCCTGCTACAGTTTTATTATTTGTGTTTGATAAGAAAAAAACTAAGATTTCAATAGTTGGGCCAACTGAAGTGGGAAGGGGCTCGTATTAACCACACTTTATCTTCATTTATGGTAGATCCCTATTTCCCTTGTATCATCTGATCGTTTCGGCCATTACTGCAAATCATGACGGGGCTCGTATACAGTATCTATGTCTCATAAATAATAACCGCGAACACACAACAGCAACAACAAGTAGTCCGTTAAAATATTTTATAGCGGCATTAGTGATCCCATAAAACTGTCGATCGGACGCGGCAAAGCGGCGGCGCGACCCATAACATGCGCCGATTCTAATGGCAAATCGCAATTAACCGCGAGTAAATCTAGAGGGCGTGGATGCACCCGCGTTTGTTTCGGGAAGGTGTACACCATGAAGACTAGAGATAGGAGGTTAGACTCATGGAGTGGGGGTGTCGTCCGTATGAGTCTTTCACATCATCATTAGACACGGACGCTGTCACGGGGGGGGGGGGTAAAGGGGGTAATTACCCCCCACCCCAGACGACTCGAGCAGTCTTTGAAAAGGTGGTATAAAGTAAACGTCTTATAAAAAAATCTGTAGCTGTTAGAAGGGATAGTGGCAACATTACCAACCCGCTCACGTATAAGCCAGAAAATTAATTTTTGTTTGTGTATAATTTTTATACTATAAAAGAATCGTGTCTGAAGAAAAAGACGGAAAAATGAGAGATTAGTGGGTATAGCTCTTTTATATATGCACAAGGATATTAAAATAGACGTGAATACAATCATAGATCGGTTAGACAGCAAAAAGAATAGGCGCCTTGATTTTGTAATATGAACTTTTCCTAAGGTTGTCTCTCAAATCCATCTCCCTTCTGTTGGCCAATAAATAAAAAGCAGATGTAGACGGTGACCTTTTCCAAAGTATCCAAGCAAGATATGTGGTTTTATTTATTGGCCAGCAGATTGATATAAAAGTCTGTTCAAATTCTGTTCAAATAACTTTCTAAGCTAATATAATGATTGTTTTATTTTGAGACTGTGAACCGATGTAGTTTCATCGTTTATATGTTTTGTTTTTTGAGACTGGCTAAGAGAATGTAGTTATGCAATGAATATTTTTCTCATGATTAAGAATTTCATTTTGATTTACTTTCAGTTTTATACTTTATAGAAGTCGTAACATATTTGTTATGGTTATTTTTTTCATGTAGATGTATTTTTTGTTTTGCTTGACATTGTTGTATAGAAAAGTCTGTGATAGATTATATTATTTTGCATTTTTGTTTTAATATACGAAGATTGCTCGAGCTTGGTTTGCTTCATTTACACTTTGATTTCGTATGATTCAAAATAAAAAAAAATGTATGTATTGTCTACAGAAACTACTGTAATAACTTCATATGTCTGCATATGTCCATGCTGTTGATGTTAAATCATTATGACACGTCAGTACGTCAGACTGAGAATTTACTTTCCATTTTACCCCTTCCAGACTGAAATCCTGGGAGCGCCAATGTCATTAGATCAATATTTTCAAACCTTACAACGTTGTTCCACAACATTTTTCTCTAAGTAATTTATTCTTCGAGATATTTGGATCTATGCAAACTTTTTGAGCATCCTATATTATCGCGGATAAAACCATGTCTATAACCTTACTCAGGTTCCATTTAGTAAGTCTACATATGGTCATGTCTCTTTGCATTGTGGTTCAGACGTGATGCTGACAGACTGGACAGACGTTCAACTGCTCTTTGGCCCTTTCCCATGCCCTTGATCAAAGTATGTTTCCAAATGCGTGGGCTGCGTCTATTCACCACCTGAATACAAATTGGCATTGATTGCGATACGGATTTTTATTGTTTAATACGAACGACCAACCAAATTTTGGCTGCATTAAATTTGCACGAAGTCGCATTTCAACACAGTCCAGTGGCTCACATAAATGCTGCTTATGTACACAAAAATGCCACTTTCCACATGCAACGTTGGTTTTCCGAATAAAATCCATTATTTTCGGACGCACGCTGCAGTAAATTGGTAGTTGTCGAAAATTAAGTTCCAGTGGCGGAGGTGGAACGGCCATAGTTACAGCTAATTATACAGGGTGTTTCAGAACTATGGGATCAAACTTGTAAAAAGTTTATTGCTATTCATCGGCGGCTCTCCGAGACAGGCATGTTCAAAACCAACATGCATGATATTGGTGTTGCTCGAACCGTACGAACGGACGAATCTGAAGAAGAGGTTCTTCAGCGAGTTGTCGACGAACCATCAAGTAGCACAAGTCACATTGCGAAATCATGTGCGACGTTTAAATCGGTGTATTCAGGTTGGAGGAAGACATTTTGAACAATTGTTGTGATGATATCATGTACAAAAGGCAAAAATTAAATGCATTAAATCCTATTTAAGCAATTCATCGTCTTTCTAAGTTTTAATGCGTCTTAGGGCCGTAGTGCCGTAGTGATACTTTTCCGGATATCGGTCCCTATACTCAAATGTTTTTTACTGTTACACTGAATAACCCCTAGAAGGTTTATCCCTTAGTTCTGAAACACCCTGTAGTGCCAAATGCCAGTCCTGTCCCGATTTGAAGGATCCTCTAGAGGTTCCACTTGAAGTTTCCCAAATCTGAACTTGCTAACGTTCAATCAACACCTTCAGGACCTTAAAGCTCTACTATGTCAGCCGTGTCAGTCAAACATAGGCTCTTAGGGGTTACTTTTGTAGACGAACTTACGTAATCGAATTACGACCCCGTTTCAGACTTTTAAATAGACATTTTTCTTTTGAAATTACTAAATTACGCCTCAAAAAAAACTTATCAGGAGCTGTAACGAAGGTGTAGAAAGGATAGAATCAATCAGACTTGGATCGAATACGGTGTTCGAATACAAATCCTGAATACTGTATTTTAAATTGTACTCGACTACTCAAGGTTCGTGTACAGAGGGAAGAAGTATCCCAATGCCGCTATCTTGAGTATCAGGATTAATTCAAACATGAATACTTTGAAATATTCCAACTAAACAAAGAATACGCACACTTTAAACTTGATTTTTATTCATGTACTTGTTATAAAAATATATAAAACATTAAAAGTACATGACTGAATTAAATAAAACTTGAAGTAACATTGTCACACTGCGGTTAGACAAATTGTATATGCAGGTCAATCTTTGAAGTTTCTTAAATTTTTATAGAAAATTAGTAGAATAAAGCTTGATAGAAATGAATGAATCTTACACAGTGTCCCTACATAATTGAAAAATAAACTTACCTTTTTATACAGGGTGTTCCTTAATAATATGCAAATATACAAGGCTGTGGAATCTACATGAAAAATTAATGTTAGATTGCTTTATAAACGATTGTCCAAAAATGTTTCCTTACAAAAACTCGGGGTGTTGAAGTGTTAGGAAAAAGATGGAAATTAATTAATATTTTCAGAACCGCTTCAGATATTTCACTGATATTTAGTACGTAGTTAAAGTTAATACAGTTCGTCTGGCTTGCTCACCATTACCGTCAGCAAGGCCATATACGTAATGCATTTCCGCCATTTCTGCATTTGAATAATTCACCATTATTAACAAGATTGTAAAAACTAAATAATGAAAAAGATGTCACAGCGAACAGATTTGAATAACAGAGACTTGTCAGATGTCAAAAGCCAGTGACATATTCCAGAGCAACTAGATATTTATTGCTAAATTGCATTCTTCAATTATTACTTTAATTTTCTCGGACAATAGAACGTTTTTTAATTTTTTACTCAAAAATGGCGCATCGAAGGAAA